CCCTTTTCCCAGCCAACCCCTCTCGAACGGGTCACATTGAAGCGATCATCTTATAATCGAGCTGGCCTAGGATCCGATTTGACCTGTCTCTTGACCTATATATCTTATTTTGGCTGATTTGCTCTCCCCGGACGATCCGTAAACCAGGGGCTTTCCGATCGGTTTACGATTCCTCCTATTTTTATTCCACTCTAGTCCAGGTCTTGGCTGGGTCGGTGTCCTAACTGTCCTGACTGTCATACCTACTCATACCTTGACCTTTACCCTTACCCTTACCCAGTACCCATTGACTCTTACTTACTTACCTATTACCCACACCACCACCACCACCACCACTGCACCACCACCACCACTGCACCACCACCACCACTGCACCACCACCACCACTACCACCACACTCCCCCCAACAACAATCTTCCAGGACTCGACACCAAACGGGAAACTCTCGCTCGAGTCCGCCGCCGCCGCCGCCGCCAACTTGAACCTTACACCATTTATCTCTTACCACTGACTACTGACACTGATAACTCACCACCAAACCACTCTCAGTATTCAGCCTCTCTCTCACCTCTCTCACACTCTCCCTCTTTCTTCTTCCAACTCTTCTCATCCCATCGCTATCTTTTCACTTTCCACTTCCTCCTCTTCTTCCTCAGTCCCTCTCTTCCTTCCTCCCCGTCTTTCGGCCTACCTACCTACCCATCTACCCGTGACCGAGTGCCCGCTGCCTTTTCCTGGTCAGGCCGATCTGTAAGCGATGCGTTCTTGCACCTAATGGTCGTTCCTTTCCATCTATCGTGTACCACTTGGCTACCCTTGCTTCGCCATCGCCGTCGGGCATTCGGTTAAACAAGTCATCGCCATCATCCTTCTCTGAACATTCCTTACTCTCTCACCCCTCGCTCGGTTTTTGAGAGGCAAGTGAATTTTTCTTCATTCCGGTGTAAGTCCTTTTGCTTGTTTTTCTTTCGTTTTTTTTCTGTTCTATTTTTCGTCCTCCAGACTAGCTCGGTTTCTCACCGACCGCACCCCTCGGTCCCTCTTTCCCCCCATGATGTTTCAGTTACCGCATATTGAGAGGCGAAAATTCATGGAACATCGAAAATAAATTACACCTGGAAATAACGTGGATTACCTGCTTACCTTAACTGCGCAATGATGTCTAGGACCACTTTGCACCGTGCGATCGACACCGCGTTTTTGACATTTTGAAACCCACCCTCATTCCTCTCCCTTGAAACCGATCGAGTTTGTGTGTCGACCGTCATCCCACCATTTCTGTTATCGACAACAGTACATAGCTGTGGGCCCAATCCATAGTCGTCTTCCTGACAATATGTCTTCATTCTTACCTGTCAATACTATGACCACCTCACAAGATCGAGTCATGGAGGACGCGACGACATCATCCACCCCTCGCCCTCATCCCAGCTCCGACGCTGCATCATCTTTAGGCACCAAGACGGACGAGAGCACTCCGCGGAATGTAAATATCCACGATGACTCCACCCGCCCGATAGACTCGCAAACCAGCGCATCGTTAACGTCAGATGAGCCCGCACATGGAGATTCGGACGGGGAACGTGAAGGCTCTGATAACGAGGACAACAAGGACAATGCTCCCCCATCGAAGAAGAAAAAGGGACAACGCTTCTACTGCACTGATTTCCCGCCATGCAACTTGAGTTTTACACGGAGTGAGCATCTGGCACGGCACATCCGGAAACATACCGGCGAACGCCCGTTTCAATGTCACTGCTCCCGCCGCTTTTCTCGACTGGACAACCTGCGCCAGCATGCCCAAACCGTGCACGTTAACGAGGAAATTCCAGGAGACTCGCTGGCGGCGACAGGGACCAGATTCCAGCGACAAATTCGAACAGATCGCGTGCGTCCCCAGGGTCGCGCGAGAGCGGGCACGGCGGGCAGTCAAGGTACTCATAGTAGGGGCCATAGCAGAAACCTTTCTGCCTCGAGCATCACCTCCACTGCATCGACATTCAGTCAACCGCAGGAGCTTCGCCGACGGCCTGCGCCGTTGATGATGGCAAATGATCGAGCGCGACTGATGGATACGCTGGATGCTCCCAGCACCCCTCCGGGGCGGGGCCTGCCAGGACCGCAGGCCGGTGGCTCCCCTTACACACCTTCACACCATGTCTTTGCGGCAGGGCCTCATGGTAGCCCTCATATTGCTTCGCCAATGTCTACAGTGTCTCAGGCCTCGGGATTCTGGGAGGGCAAGACAGCCGCTCGTCGATTGTCTGTACCATCAGGCGCAAACCCATTCGCATCGCAGCCTGCCAACGTCTATCCTCCAGGTTATGCACCACCCCCCGCGTACGTTGCGCACGGCGGAGTGTATGCCAGCCCCGTTAGCACCAATTACTCCCTGTCTCGCGATGAGATGAATCACGGAGCTTCGGACGCCGACCTACGCAGAAGGACATGGCACCCCTCGACCTGGTCTGCCGTTCCTCGGCCAGCCACCAGTGGCCTCAGTAACTACCAGACCCCCGAAGTGTTCCACCCGTCGGCGAAAGCCAATGGGTCGGCGGAGCAGCCTCCGCGACTGCCAGGTATTGAGAGTTTTGATAAGGTGGTGGCTCACCGACCGCTGACCCCGCCCGTTCGACGACCGAGTCCCATGCAAATGGATAATCCGACCAAGCAACCGCCGAACTACAACTTTGGAGGAGGATTCAATTACACGCAACCGGCCAGCCGACCAGCGCCGCCGATTTCGGGCCCCGGTCATCGACGGGGTCACGTCTCTTGGGATATGTCACTGCACACAAACCTAACCGGACTTCACATCCGGGATAAACCATCTCAGCGAGATGCGGCAAACTGGAGCCAGCAAACCATTGCCGAACTCCAGAATGTTGGTTCCCGGCCATCCTCGTCTTATCAGCAACAACTGCAGGAATCTCGCGGACATGGCCATGCTCCGTCATTCAGCAGTGTTACTATGAGCACTCAGGCGACGCGAACGTCACCCGAAGATTCTAGCAGCAGCGAAGGAGTCCATACCCCATCTACTGCATCTTTAGAATACCATCCCGCAATTGTGCATAACAATGGATATGTGGAGCAGCATCACCCGCCTTTTGCCTCAGAAACATCTCAAACAGTACGCACACGTTACCAGAATCAACGATGAGGGCCAGATCACTGATTGGAATGCAGGCTTGCCCCCCTCCTCTAGCCCCCCAACCTGATAGCCACTACGGCAAACGTGACCTTCGGTCCGATTTCCTTCCTCATTCGGTTCGGGAACCTGGAATGGGTCGACTGGAAGCGCTCGTCGCTGTCGCCACCAGCGAGAACAAAAGCGCCACGAAGCTCTTTATCTGAACGGCCTCTGCATGGGAATTGTGCCTGCGATTTACGAGTATTTTCCTATTTTCATCCGGTGATCACATCCTGAGCGATCCCGCATCCGAAACCGACCTTGCTCGGGCTCGCCGCTCTTTCTCTTCACAACTGTTTTGAGCGGGAGTTGTATAGTACGAGGCATTGGCCTCTTGTCATGGGTTTCCTCGACCTTTTCTTTGTTTTGGATATAGCCGCGGAGTTCTAGAACCTGAACCTCTCTCGTATACTCGGAGCTGCACGCACCGCTCGGCTGCGGGAATCTTTATGAAGTGATGAATGATGAAATAATGCATCGGTGGGTTGGAACAACTGGGGCTTTCGCAATTCCTACTTTTATCTTGTTCGGGGTCTTTCATCTCTCTCTCTTTCCTCTCTGTCTGTGCATGTTCTGGCGTTCTCCCTCTTTGTCCTTCCGGAACGGAATACTGTCCATAGTGCATGAAGATACCCCCCCCCCGGCCTTGATCTCGAGCGACTGCAACGAGATCACGGAAGGAGTTTCCTACTCTGGTCGTGGTGTGGCTTCGAATGTTCGTTTGACGCTGTCTATACCGAGGTTTATATGCTTCTTTCGGTGGTGGTGATGATGTGAATTGCTGCAGCTGGCCATCATGTTTTAGTATGTCAATTTCTTGGCGACTGTGGGGCTTTGACGCTTTATGTCTTTGGAATTCCTTTCCTTTTCTTTTCTGCTTTGCAAGGGGTTCAGCAATTAGTTGCGGGTTACAGTAATTGAGCCAATACCAGAACGAAACCAATTTAGATGCAATGATGCCAAGACCAAGACTGGACCTGGACCCGAAGGGAGGAGGGAATAATCAGCCACAGAATAAGTTAAGTTACTCATAATTTCCCCTGCAGCTTGAAGCTGGCTAAATTAGGAGGCCGGACCCATCATGACGTTGTCGAGTCGAGTCTCCACGATCTCAGTAACGTCAAACCCACGGGTTAAGGTACCTTTTCCTGGTGACAGACCTTGTCAGCCAGATCACCATGGAACAAGCCCCAGTGGATGATGATGACTCTCAGGTGACGTAGTATCGGCCGATGGCTGCCGCACCCGACTCGGCGTCTTCCTCCACTGTTGAGGAGTATGTGTGCTGAAGCTTGTAGAATGAAAGAGGGGTTTGCAATGAAATTGTTCACTTGGAGTTATGTAGTAGTAAAAGACTAAACCTGGCAGAGATGCAAACCCTTCAGATTCAGCTGTTGTACAAACAAAGCAGGTAGCAAACAACCCGAGGCTTCCCCGCACAGGAAAGCACAGTACGTGCAGTCTATGAATAGTTGGGAAGGCTCCTAGTAGTGCAGTGCTTCGTAGAGAGAAAACCGACTAAGCGATTTTAGTCCCCGAACCCAGCCCACTGCAGCCCAGCCCAGTCCACAACCACAACCACGACGACGACGTCATATCCTGTGATCCCAACCCGCTTGCGCCAGTAACCACGGACTGGAAGGGAACAAACAGCCAAGATTCCACGTAGCACACCACGACTATATAATACTACTCCTCATCGCACTGGAACCTGAATAGCTCACATTCTCTTCACTCAACAAACTCCGCAATCCAGGAACACACAAAACCAAATCAAACCAAACAACCAACTTTTTCTACCACCCCACTTCCCAACTACCTACACATATCTTCATCACAATGGCTCAGAGTCGCACTGGAGTTTACGCCGCTGTTGCCGCCCTCGGTCTGGGTGGTTACTACCTCTACCGCGCCGGTGGTGACCCCAAGGCCGCTACGCAGGAGGTTAAGCGTAAGTTTGCTGCCGTTGACTGCGCTGTCTGGACGATCCACAATTCTGAATGTTAACGCCAATCTCTATAGACGATGCCCACCTTGCCCGCTTGAACGCCCCCACGGGTAACCAGGCCGAGAAGGCCGGAGAGAAGGCCGGTTATGAGGCTCGCTTGAACGTTGATCATGCGGTACGTTTAAACCCCTCCCCTCCCTTCCCTCTCTTTTTTCCCTCCGACCTCACCTCCTCATATACTTCAACGAGAAACTTGCAACTCGCGCTGACATTTTGTTTCCCCGGGGATATAGGTCGACTCCGCCCGCGCCGAGGCCAAGAACCAAGCCAGCCGCCTGGAGCAGATCCGCCAGGACACCACCGCCGAGCTGAAGTCGGGCGCCGAGAAGATCGAGTCCAAGGTCGAGGAGAAGGCCTCCGAGGCCAAGGGTGCCTTGTCGGGATGGTTCGGCAAGAAATAGACTTTTCTCTGGTTGCCTCGAGCAGACAGACCGACTGCTTCGAAACACATTCGTGTGTGTGAGTGAGTTGAGTAGTTGTGTCTGATGCCTCCTGGAATATCCTTCTTTCTGTCTTGTTGGGTCTCTTTTCCTCATTTCACGGCGGGAGTTGAGTTGATTCCTTTTGCGATCTGTTTTTTGTTTTCGAAAAACCTCACGTTTGTGTTTCCTGAAGGAAGAAAAAGTGAGGGGATTGCATATGTTTGGCTGGGCCTTGCGTGTGTGTTTCATTTCTTTTTTTCTCTTGCTGTTATCTGTGTCATCGACGACGACGGATGATGGATGATGTTATTTACCGTGATGATGGGTTCGAGGAGGTTTATGATTCATACTATACTCTAGTCGGTTCAATAATATCTGATTCCCAACTACCCTTTTACTTCACGGCCATTATTTTGTCGGATATTGCATACTTGAACCTCGCTGGGGCGCAACTGGAGCCAGCGCCGCAAAGGAGCACTGAGCACCAACTAGTTCTGCGACGGGATGCTATCACTGGGTACCTTAGAGTCAGGACTATCAGAAAGGCCTAGACTGCATCAGGGTAAATCGCATTCTGGGGTGGATCAGACAAAAAAGGGCTTCGATGTGGAGTAGATGAGGGCCACTTTGCCCGCGGTATGCTACATTCCCAATGCATGATTACTGTAGTGACGGGTTGCCGTGCATTACGAATGGTGGAGCAGGAAATCTGTACTCAAATTGAAGCGAATTGATATATAACATTCAGAGCGCATTTCTTTTACTCGGAGAAATCACCTTGAGGTTGCTTTCATTTTACCCCTGCTGATCATGGCCGCGGCGGGATCCTAATATTACCGCATTCGGCCGCGACGCCTCCAGAAACACGCGACCCGCGTCGACGCGCTCCACCCGGGAAAAAAGCATCCAAGCGCCCTCACTCACAAAAGGGACTAAAATATACACCCCCAATTTTCCCTCGCCCGTCAAACAGACTTCCCCAGATAACCCCCTCCATAAACCCACTTTCCACCAACTACCTTTTAGCTTATTACTGTTGTGCATTCCTACCTGCCTGATATTTCCATGTTTGCACAATAGCAACTTCCTATCTTCCTTATCTCTTACTTCCTTCCTTCCCTCCTCCTCTGCAAAGGAAACCGCGATGCCGCGCACCTCCGCCAGACTGGCCGCCCTTCCCCGGGGTCAGGCCGGCATTCAGACCTTTGCAAGAGCGACCAAGCCCGGCGTCACCACTCCTCAATCGCTCGCGGACACCAAGAAGCAGCTACAGCAGCAGCAGCTACCCCTGCCGTCCACGACGAAAAGCACGACCTCCCCCACCACCACCACCGCCCGCCTTCCAATCTCACCATCTAAAAAGCGGAAACTGCACGAATTGCAAAACGTCACCTGTGGCGGCGGACAACCGACGACGCAAGAGGCAGGCAAGCCCGGCCTTCCTGCCGATGCCAAAGACGTCCCGGAGGCAGCCACTCCCTCCCGGACCCTCCGACTCGGCGAGCTTGCCCTCAACACCCCCCCAAGCGGCCACTACGCGCGCTCCTCTGCCCGCGAAGAAGACGAAGACGACATCCCGACCTCGCCATCCAAGCGGGCCGCTACTCACAGGAGAACGACCTCAGCATCGTTGCCGCGGAAGGCGAGTGTCGTCACCGTAGACACGCGGGTCGCAGAACGTCCCGCCTGCGTGGATGATTTTGTGGCCCTGTACTCGGCATTCCAGAAGGCTGTCTCCGTTCATATGATGCACAACGGCGTCAATCGCCCGGCGGACTTGCGGGAACTGCTGCCCAGTATGCAGCGGATCTGGAAGAAGCGGAAGGTGGTGGTCAAGGACCTGCAGCGATTGATCTGGGTGATGGAGCAGGATGATCAGTCGACATCGTCGTTCTCGTTCAGAATCGCGAATTATGGGTTGGGCCGGGTGTGCTTGGAAAAACTGGCTGTCGCTGCTGATGGCACGAATTCACCACCCTCTGCAGCACCGGTGCGGAATGATGATAGCGGTGAATTGCAGGAACGGTTCGAGCAGACGGTTGATCTGCTCTGGGAAAAGGCGCTGGATGCAGCGGATGGGGATGTGGAGAAGGTGGACTTTGTGGGTACGCTGGGCGTATCGGCCATTCATGAGTCGTTGGTTCCCTTCACGACATTCCGGAAAGGTCAGCAGCGATTGCAGGATCTTAAGGGCGGGGTGATCAAGTTGAAGACCGAGAAGCTGCGGGCGGATGGGCAGGAGGACTCTGTTCCAGCCAAGTCGCTGGATGCGGCAAGTGCGCGGAAGAAGGGCCTGCTGGAACGGATCAAGGACAAGCAGCTGCGACAGGCGAAGTTGCCGCCCCCGCCCACGAAGGATATGCTCCTCCAGCGAGCGGCGGCGGAGCGGGTCGAGGAGGTTGCTGGCGTCCTGGCTCTGCTGAGACCCAGGGGGTATACAGGCAATGGTGCTAAGGCGGTGATGACGGCGCAGCGAACGCCGTTTCGAATGGAGACGATCGTCCAGAACGTCAAGGATTCCTTGCGCAATCCGGTGGCGGATCGAGAGGTCGAGATCTGTCTTGAGATTCTCGCTCGGGAAGATGTTGCGGGACAATGGGTCAATATCGTGATAGTGAATCAGCTCAGATCGGTGGTGCTGAAATCCTGTGCCGATGTGCAGCCCAAGGAGATAGCGGCCCGAGTTGCACAGCTGAAGATCGGGTGGGAGCAGGTTGGCGAGGCTCCCCGGAAGTGAAATGATTGTTGGTTGGATTACCCGTCACTCGTTTTGGATGTCGTGATACCTCAATCCGGAATGCCTGGCATGCATTTCCGGCGTTATGATTGCATTGTTTGAGCATCGCATGTGTCATGTCCTGTATATTAAGCGGCATTTGTTATGTACTGCACTACTGGCATAGCCTCATTCTATCGACTAATAGATATACCAATTCTTGATTCCTTCCTTCATACCGTCTGCTCAAATGCCTGGATTATACTACCTAGTCATTGGAACCAATTTCGACGTATGTCTGTAGGTAGGCACAAGAATTCACCTGGATTGGTGAATGATAGCTATTCAGCGGACCTCGCTGATTGGATAAAAACCACTTCCGGCCTCCGCGCCGCAACGCGTATGCACGTGATCGCGTTGCCACTGACCGCGTCGCAGCGTTGATCTATCAATTGACCCACGCTCCCTCATCCGCATTTGACCAGACCGTAGCCACCAACAACAGACAAACTGGCTCAGAGCTGAAGTCATCTTTGTCCTCGTTGAGCTTTCTGGCAATATGTCTTCGCGGCCGGATCTCAGGGTAAGTGCTCCATCGCCAATTGATCCGATTTCTCTTCTTCTCCCACCATCAAACACGACGAAACACCACGCCTCAAGTGCTAATAACTTCTTGTTGAAACAGGTAGACGATGAAGTCGGTTTCATCCGCTTCTACCGCTCCATCTCCTCCAACAACACCGACACCAACACCAATAATAACAATGACACCATCCGCATCTTCGACCGCGGCGACTGGTACTCGGCCCACGGGACGGAGGCCGAATTCATCGCGCGCACGGTCTACAAGACGACCTCGGTGCTCCGCAACCTGGGCCGCAGCGAGACGGGCGGCCTCCCCTCGGTGACGATGAGCGTGACGGTGTTCCGCAACTTCCTGCGCGAGGCGCTCTTCCGGCTGAACAAGCGGGTGGAGATCTGGGCGACGGCGGCGGCGGGCGGCGCGCGCGGTTCGGGCTCGTGGAAGCTCGCCAAGCAGGCCAGCCCCGGCAACCTACAGGACGTGGAGGAGGAGCTGGGCAGCGTCGGGGCGCTGAGCCTGGACGCGGCGGCGCCCATCATCCTGGCCGTCAAGATCTCCGCCAAGGCCGGCGAGGCGCGCCACGTCGGGGTGTGCTTCGCGGACGCGAGCGTGCGCGAGCTTGGCGTGAGCGAGTTTTTGGATAATGACGTCTACTCGAACTTTGAGTCCTTGGTCATCCAGCTGGGCGTCAAGGAGTGTCTGGTGCAGATGGACGCCGGGCGCAAGGATGTCGAACTGGCCAAGATCCGCGCGATCGCGGACAGCTGTGGCATTGCGGTGTCGGAGCGGCCCGCTGGGGATTTTGGGGTGAAGGATATTGAGCAGGATTTGACGCGGTTGTTGCGGGATGAGCGGTCCGCAGGGACGCTGCCGCAGACGGAGTTGAAGCTGGCGATGGGCGCCGCCGCCGCGCTGATCAAGTACCTCGGGGTCATGACGGATGCCTCGAGTTTCGGGCAGTATCAGCTGTATCAGCATGATCTGTCGCAGTTCATGAAGCTCGACGCGTCGGCCTTGCGCGCGCTGAATCTCATGCCCGGTCCGCGGGACGGATCCAAATCCATGAGTTTGTTCGGCCTGTTGAATCACTGCAAGACTCCCGTGGGCAGCCGGCTGCTGGCGCAGTGGCTGAAGCAGCCGCTCATGGATCGCGCGGAAATCGAGAAGCGGCAGCAGCTGGTGGAGGCCTTTGTGGTGGACACGGAGCTTCGTCAGACAATGCAGGAGGAGCATCTGCGGTCGATCCCTGACTTGTATCGGCTCGCGAAGCGATTTCAGCGCAAGCAGGCCACCCTGGAGGATGTGGTCCGCGTGTACCAGGTTGCGATTCGTCTGCCAGGGATTGTTGCTTCGCTGGAGAACGTGATGGATGAGCAGTACCAGACCCCACTCGAGAAAGAATACACCCTCAAGTTGCGCGGTTTCTCGGATAGTTTGGCCAAGCTGGAGGAGATGGTCGAGACCACCGTGGACTTGGACGCGCTGGAGAATCACGAGTTCATCATCAAGCCGGAGTTTGATGAGAGTTTGCGCATCATCCGCAAGAAGCTGGATAAGCTGCGACATGATATGAACGTAGAGCACCGTCGGGTGGGACGAGATCTGGATCAGGAGGTGGAGAAGAAGCTGTTCATGGAGAACCACCGTGTGCATGGATGGTGCTTCCGACTTACTCGTAACGAGGCTGGTTGCATCCGGAACAAGAGAGAGTATCAGGAGTGCTCAACGCAGAAGAACGGCGTGTACTTCACCACATCAACAATGCAGGCGCTGCGCCGCGAGCATGACCAGCTTTCGTCGAACTACAACCGCACCCAGACTGGACTGGTCAGTGAGGTGGTCAACGTTGCTGCTTCTTACTGCCCTGTGCTGGAGCAGCTTGCCGGCGTTCTCGCCCACTTGGATGTTGTGGTGAGCTTTGCCCATGCCGCCGTTCATGCCCCAACCCCGTATGTCCGTCCCAAGATGCACCCGCGCGGCACGGGAAATACCATCCTAAAGGAGGCCCGCCATCCCTGCATGGAGATGCAGGATGACATCTCGTTCATCACCAACGATGTGTCCCTGATCCGGGACGAGTCGTCCTTCCTCATCATCACCGGTCCCAACATGGGCGGTAAATCGACCTATATCCGGCAGATCGGAGTCATCGCGCTGATGGCGCAGACGGGATGCTTTGTGCCGTGCAGCGAGGCCGAGCTGACCATCTTCGACTGCATCCTTGCGCGCGTTGGGGCCAGCGACTCGCAATTGAAGGGCGTCTCGACGTTTATGGCCGAGATGCTGGAAACCTCCAACATCCTCAAGTCGGCGACCTCCGAGTCCCTGATTATCATCGACGAACTCGGCCGTGGAACGAGCACCTACGACGGGTTCGGTCTGGCGTGGGCGATCTCCGAGCACATTGTCACCGAGATCCGTTGCTTCGGGCTCTTTGCCACCCACTTCCACGAGCTAACAGCCCTGGCGGACCGGTACCCCAAGTCCGCGAAGAACCTGCACGTCGTTGCCTTCATCGGCGATGGGACCGACGGGCAGCAGCCCGAAGACAACGCGAAAGACGCCAAGCGCAACCAAGTCACCCTGCTGTACCGGGTGGAGCCCGGCATCTGCGACCAGTCCTTCGGTATCCACGTGGCCGAATTGGTGCGCTTCCCAGAGAAGGTGGTCAACATGGCGCGGCAGAAGGCGGACGAGCTGGAGGATTTCACCTCTGCCGGGGCCCAAGGCGGCGAGGAGTCGGTCCCGTCCTCCATCGACAAGTATTCCCAGGAGGAAGTCGAAGAGGGCAGCGCTCTTCTGAAGGAGATGCTGCTCAAATGGAAGGCGGCCGTCGAGTCCCCCGGGACGAACCTCACCGTGGAGGAGAAGCGACAGATCATGCGCGACCTGGTGAAGAGCGATCCCAAGCTGCAAGCGAACAAAGTGTTCCAGAGCATCAAGGCCCTGTAGAACTGGAGTTTCTTTCATGATCATCAGGAAATGTTTCGGGTATTTGTTTGTAGCGGATAGGAGTTACGGAAAATGGGAGTCATCATATTGTATGTATGTTAGGGTTACAATGTTATGGACATCATTGAGTTGGTAGAACCGACTCTTAATCTATCTCGATGTAGTCTGCGCCGGTGCCTTTGTGGCATGGATTGGCATTGGCCTGTAGGCTGCTAGTATCTTGGTTTAGATGAAGCCTAAGGCCTTGTGCTTAGTTTAGGCAGGCAGCAACACGGACTGTCCATCCTCGGAGGCTTTCCATGGGACAGGTGGTTTAGAACAGGGACAATGAATGAGAAACTACTAACTTACCCCGCAGTGCTGTTCTCATCCGTGTAGAACCGACAGGCTTAGAATAGCATTCACTATTATGCTTCCATGAGGCAGAAGACTGAACCGGGGGCTTGCCTGCGGTCAATGCTGCCAAGGCTGGTTCTGTCTGTGCGACCAACCCCGGGATGGGATTTGGTTTATACAAGTTACGCAGCTACAGTACAGTATGCTAACTAAATAAAGAAGAAAAAGATTTCCAAGTCATCGGGCAAACCGTGAACCTCTGACTGCGCGCCATAACAATGCTCTGCGTGGTCAGAGTCGAAATCGGGCCGACTATGTTGTACTGGACTAGTATTCTACCGTAGGCCTATCTGGAGAATCCCTGAACTCCGTGCTTGTAGGACAGTCCGTCCCGGCACGTGCCTGCTGCGCAACGGGAGATGAGAGTCTCTGGATATGGGCATCGATGTCTACTGGATGGGTTGACGTACCGTGCAGCGACTGACTGACCCGCATGCATGCAGGAAGGGTCGGAAGTGCAGGTGTTGCAGCGATCCCAACCCTAAAAGTCAAGCCATGCATTCTTCTGACTCTGGATGGTGCAATTGGGAACCCATTGGCTGCAAATGAGAAGATTATAACGAAATTGAGGGGATCTTGGCCACGTCATGTACGGTCCTGTTGCTGACTATCACATCCGCGTGTGTGTTGTGCTGTCGTGCCAGGGCTTTGCAGAAAGACGCACGCAGCAATAGCAGCAACAGCAACAGCAACAGCAACAGCAACAGCAACGATAGGATAATTGTGAATCGGTCTCAGCTTCAGCTCAGCTAGAGAGCCATCACGAGGTCCTGGTCTGGTCCCCTCAATACGAGGCGGCCATCAAGAGATCATCATGGATAGCCCGTCAGAGCTTTCCTTCGTGATTGTACTGCTGCTGCTGCAGCAGTGGTCAGCATGGCGAGCTCGTTCTATGCTTATTTGCATCGATAGATTCCCCTGCCGGCCGATCACTCAGGCTGCATGTATTGTCCCCGCGCCGATAGGTCAACATACAGTTCATATGGATAGATATATGATCCAGACTACCCGCCTAGTATCAATCTGACACAACTCTAGGCCATTTCCGCTATTGCGTGAACTTGCAATCAATCTATCCCGACCCCCCCCCCCCCTTCCAAAGAAAAACCAAAGGACGGACGGACGGACTTGAGTATTAGACCACGATCACAATCTTCAGTGATGGATGGCTTCGACCTCACCAAAGCCCCCCCAGAATTCCAAGCCTGGGGCTGGACCAGCTATTTGTGCCACTCGTACACCAACCTGACCTGGCTCTACGTCTACTACGGCATCATCTACTACTCGTACAAGGACCGCTCGTACAGCATGCCGCTGATATCGCACTGCTTCAACATCGCCTGGGAGATCACCTTCGGCTTCCTCTTCGCGCTCGACCACTGGCTGATCACGCTGACCTTCCAGGTCGCCACCCTGAGCAACTTGGGCACCATCTACGCGGCCATCCGCTACGGCTCGCAGGAGTGGGCGCACGCCCCGCTCATCCAACGATACCTGCCCTGGTGGTATCTGGCGGGCATCGCCCTCGCCATCGCCGCCCACCTGGCCCTGGTCGCCGAGCTGGGCGGCATGACCGCCTGCTTCGCGAACGCGATCGTGTGCCAGGCCATCCTGAGCGTCGGCTACCTCTGCCAGCTCCTGACGCGCGGCAGCACCCGCGGCTTCGCGCTGAACCTCTGGTTCTTCCGCTTCACCGGGTCGCTGACCTTGGTCCCGGAGTTCTACCTGCGCGTCAAGTACTGGCCCGAGGCCTTCGGCTTCCTCGGCAAGCCCTTTATGCTCTGGTGCTGTGCCATCTACCTCGGGTTCGATCTGGCCTATGGGATTTGTTTCTGGTACATCCGGCGAATGGAACAAGAGGCGCAGAGAGCGAGGTCCATGCTGAAGAAGAGCGGCTGATTTCGACTCTATGATCTTTTGTTCGAAGAAAAAGATCCGCTTGCACGGGAGGGTCAAGGCTACACTGAAAGCATGATTGGAGAATGGAGACTGTTTTTGGTTTTGCTCGATGTGTTTTCAATGTCGGCAAATGTGGGCAAGCTAGGTAGGGCCATGCGTGCATTTTAGTAGTCATGTATGTAGAGGAAGGTCATAGCCGGAGAGGCTTGTAAGTCTGAATATTGAAAGCTCAGCTTCGAGTGCACTAGGCTGGAGAGGTAGATCTTCAAAGTCGCTATCCATCAAAAAGCCATGAGTTCGATACAAGGAAGAGTGTACTGTATGTACCTCTCGACTTGGACTGCCGAAGATAAACCACCGCTGTATGCTCAAGTCACGTGCAGGTGCGGAGGTCGAGATGCCCCGGGCGCCCGCAGTCCAGTACCGTCAGTACAGTAAGCAACTACAGGAAGTAGTTACACCAGGGAAACAAACCACTTTATCCTGCTTCACTTCCGAGGCTTGGTTTCCAGCCATTCCAGTGCTTCCAGTGCGGTCATCGCTCCTTACCGGCTCTTCACTTTCTACTTTCGCTCTTTGCTCTACTTTACTCTCCCTGACCATCATCACAAACCCCCCTCAGCGATGCGCGCAACCTAAAGCGAATCCTCCCGCAACACCAAACGCCTTTGATTCATGCACCCCTTTTCCATCCTCACCCTCGGAATCTTTGTAGCGGGCTACATCACCGCGCGGTGGGATCTTGTCACCCGGCTGTACGAATTAGCGATTTTTGCATGGGATCACGGTGTGGTGGTATGGCTTCCAGTGGCCCCTCCTCTTTTGCTTGACTTGGGAACGCGCGCAACTTGAACCTCGGGTGGACCTGGCGTTGGTTATTACAACCACGAACGGACACTGTTGGCTGACTTTTTTCTTTCTCTGTTTCTGCTGTTTCCAGACACGCACGGCTAAAGGCTTTCTTCTCTTGTCGGTCTTTTTCTTCTTGCTCGTCCTCCCCATCAATCATCTGGCGGCGACTGAGGGTGAATTGGTATGCCATACATCCCGTACTTCACAAGCGTCGAATGTCATCAATGCTTGCGACGTTCGCTTTTTGTGGGCTTTAGGATCTTGAACAGACAGAGAGAGAGAGAAAATGCTGATCATCGATATATGTTGGTATATAGCACCCGCGCTACGTCCACCTAGGGGTCTCCGCTCGAGAACAATTGCGCCGTCGAGGCTCCTTCTAGAGCACCGGCCGAAGGAATGACAACATGCTCATGAGCGATGGGTTGTTACGGGTATTCTGGCCATACGATTTGCCGCGATCGTCATCGCCGGGGGTGATTGTCGGGTGGAGGAACTCAGAACTGGATTTGTTCGTGTTGACCGTGTTGGAGGGTGTTGAGGTAAAGCCCTCTTCTCTCTGAGTTGTGCTCGTCTTGGGCATGTGAAGAGGCGCCAGGAAATGCTGACATCTTGCTTTTTTCTTACCTGCTAGCCACGGAATGTCGACAATGCTCTTCGCGCAGGCATCCTCTTTCGCAACAGCCCGCACCCTATTGTGCGCATCTTTACATTGTGTGGGCGATCGGCGATGCATGTTCTAGGCTCGACCAACTCCCCAGACCCGCCCAGTGCGTTCAATCCGTCGCATCTCTATGTCACTACGACTCCGGCTTGTAAGGTGCCACGGATCTGGTGCCCACCGGAGACGAATCTCTCGGTGCAGGTCATCATGTTTCACCGGCCGCATCCGACTCGGATGGAGTACATGTCGCTGGATCCGATCTCATTGGCGCTGGCAGATAAGCTGGTCGCGGCCGATCAACCTGATGCGGTGTCCAGTCTGATCGATACCGAGGATGAACACGACAAGGGCAAGGGCGGGAGACTGGTGGAGAAGCTCAAGCTTCATACCGTCGTGAAGCATGTCCCGTCTTCCAAGGAGCAAGCATTGCCCCTCATCATCAATCAAGTCAATTGCGCCTACGAGATGGGCAAGCTCATGGAGAAGAACAGCCCTCTCATTGGGATCCGGGTCAAGAGAAGCATGAGTGTCGGAGAGCGGGTCGTGGAGTCTGCGACAACCCTGTGGGACTTGTTCGTTCTCGGCGTTTCCTACGTCTTCTGGCAGTGGATATGGCCGGTAATCACACGGATATTTGTCGTCGGGCTTGTGTTTCACCGTACCATCGCAGAATTCGTCCTGCAGGTCCTGGAGTGGCGCGCTCGTCCCGACGCTGCTGCACTCAAGGATATCTCTGCTACCGCCCAGCAGGTTGACATCCGCCTTCAACAATTCTGCTACTGGCCCATTCAATATGTGAAGCTGCGACAAAGAAAAGATAATTGGGAGAGTGTGACGACTAGTCATCCGGACTATATTCGTTTCTACAACAGCCTGTGGCTTGTGGCTAATGATGTGATCATTGGGATCGCGTTAGGGTCATACATCATAGACAATGCCAACTGGGTCGCCTTCCAGATCAACTCCATCTTGACGGGCTGGACAGTGGAGGGCTTGCAACGTACCATATCCTGGCTAATGGACTGGCCGGCTGGCTTGAAATTGAATAATGAGCTCGCTGCATTCCTTGGAGATCTCTTTCTATGGGTGATAGAGAACTGGGCAGGTGGGTTTGAATCTTTCCTCGTTCTCAAGGCAGACCAGCCATACTGATATTATGTTTTAGCTTGCATTGCCAACCTGCAACCCTACCTTCCACATGTTATCTACGTGGTGGGATGTTCAAGCTTCGCGGGGGCAAGCATGCCGATTGCCCTGTTTTCCGACCTGGTGTCTATCCTGACTGTCCACATTTACTCCTTCTACATTGCATCGGCGCGAATATTCAACTGGCAACTGACCATTATCATCTCGCTTTTCCACCTCTTCCGCGGCAAGAAGCGAAATGTGCTCCGCAACCGTATCGACTCGTGCGATTATGATCTCGATCAGCTGTTGCTGGGCACCATACTGTTCACTGTCCTTTTCTTCCTCCTGCCAACTGTGATCGTCTTTTACCTCGCCTTCGCAAGTGCGCGAATGTTGATCATCTCACTGAAAGCAGCGCTTGACACCTGCCTAGCCTTCTTGAATCACTTCCCGCTCTTTGCATTGATGCTGCGAGTCAAAGACTCGCGACGATTACCTGGTGCGTATATTCCAAGAATATTTGAGAGCCATGTCACTAATAAAGTGTGGCCTGATCAGGCGGGATCCGCTTCGAACTCCGGCAAGAGCACGACAAGTGTCCTGCAACCGGCAAGTCCACCACTAGCGTACCGTATATCCATTTCGAGTCCATCCCGCTCGCGCTTCGTGCCATGTTCGACCAGTACTTCCAATTGGGCCATCGTCTCCGGAAACACTATCTTGCCCCGCGGGTCATCTTCTGCCTCGTCACCGGCCGCTTCGTGCCTCCTATCCACCGTCGCAACCTTTACGGCATGCAGTACAGCATGCTCCCTGCGCGCCGGGCTACCATGATGGAGGTGTGGTCCATGTTGACACAACCCCGCAAATCTAGTAGTGGAGGTAGCAGCTCCTCATCGATGGGTGGCGGGATTGGCACCGCGGCGAATGGGATCCTAAAGGTTCCGGGGACGTTTGGACAAGCGGATCTGCGGAGAAGAGGCCATCGATGATGCCATGAAATTTGTATGTTAAGAACCTACAGGGATGAAGTACATAATACATGATGCAATGGTTCAAGCTGTCTAGTGGGTTGAGAGCTCGATGCAATGAATGATGGTATAGGTTAATATTACACAATGCATGTTTTTTCAAACATCGTATCACACAGCATGGTAAATCGCAACATATAGTACACGTAAGTAAACAGCACAGCTCTAATGTCTTGATCAAGAAAAGAGGAAACCGAGCAAACCCCGGCCCCCCCTCTACTCCCAAGGCATACCATAAGTAGCAGTGAGGAGGGAGACGGGATGAGATGAGATATGGATGAGTGAGTAAGAGATGTCGAGCCTTCCTGTGGAGAGTTCCGGAGTGGGTTTAACCGCCCCCCTCCCCTTTTGCCCCATACATGTCCTGAAGAATCAACCCTCCAAAATATCTACTTTCTCATCACCGCTCCTTGACCGGAGGGTAGAGAGATTCGAAGCAGCTGTTTCCCAAGAAGAGAGAGCAAGAGATGATGGGATTGACGGAGTCAAAGAAGAAAGGAACTAGACTGAGCTGCGGAAATTTTTAGCCTCGTCGAAGTGTCTCGGCGTCGAAGTCCTTGGTTGTGCTCTTCCGGGCGTCCTCGAGCATGGAATCGATGCCCTTCTCTTTGAGGACGACCTGGTAAAGATGTTAGCGGGACTATTCGAGGAGCGCAAAAAAGCGCTGTGCATGACAGTGACAGCGGCAGCGATAGTAACCGTGAGAGAGGAGCATGAAAGCACATACATTCAAGCAAGTCTTGTACTTGGTGAAGAGCTCCTCGCAGTCGTTGGAGGTGGTGTTGCCGCGGAGATATTCTGGGGTTCATGGGTTAGTTGAGACTGATGACTGGGATGTATAGAGTGGGGATGTTGGGAAGGAAGAGGCTAGCAACTTACTCTCACTGTACCACTTCAGGAAGCAGGTGTCGTATTTCCTGTTTGGGAGTGGGTTAGAGGGTTTTCTGATATACAGGATGCTTTAGGTAAGGTAGGTGGGTGGCTGGCTGACTCTTTGATCTCGTTGCATTCGGGGGCGATTGAGGCTGCCATGTTTGGATATGCGTAAGAATGGGCCTCCAAGTGGATATGATACTGGATAGTGAGATGAAACTGAATCTAAAGTAAAGGAAATAATACTACGTATGTGATTTGATATGCTGCTTTGGGGAGGCAAATCGTGGTATTCTAGTTGAGATCCTCTATCATGGAATTACGTAAGGCACATACTCCGATGGGTCTTGCTTGATGAACACCAAATAGGTAGGCGGTCAAGCGTACTCCCCCCCGGCGTTTCTCCACCTCCGAATCCGCCGGCGCCATTTTTTTCCTTTGTCGTCGCGCGGGACAAGAAATTTGAACTGCAAGCAAGCAAGCATTCGCCCGAGATTGTAAGAAAGAGAAGACCACATCGGGCTTTTCTTTTCTGTCCTGGTGTCTGGGTTGCCTGAAATTGACTTTAACGAACTGGCAACCATGAACTCCGCCACAGATTTCCCTCCGTTCCAGCAGCGGCTGACCTCCTCGTTGGTCCAAGTGACGCGCACCGTTGGCCAGCTTTCCGCCGAAGATGTCGACTTCCACCGATCCTCGAACGCGGAGGTCTCGGACTCGTTGGACGAGCAGAGCAACCGGCTTCTTTCTTTAACCTCGACGCTGCTGAAGGCGGCCACTGCGGGCACGGATGTGTCGGCGCCGACGCTGGAGGACGACGATTCCCTCGAGGACAACTGGCGCGGCGTCGTGGATGTGATCGATGCGCTGCTGGAGCGGGCGGATGCCTGCCTGGATGAGTTCACCGGCGTGATCAAGAAACTGAGCCCCTCGCAGCAGGACCAGGCGGCCGTCGCCGCCGCCAAGGCCGCGAAGAGCAAGGCGGCCGCCGCCCGATTCCCGACCGTCTACGACTACGGCCCGTCGAAGATCCCCAAGCCCCAGCTGCTGTTCGAGCACCTGCCCGACAACACCGACACGTCGCCGTTCAAGCCGCTGCTGAAGTACAAGCCCCACGCGACGGTGTCGCTGGAGGAGTCGCTGAAGCGGAGCGAGACAGCCACGGGCTATGTGCACCCGTATGAGACGGAGATCCGCGCGGCCAAATTCCCGGCTTCGACTTATACCGTCTCGCCGCCGCGGGAGTATCAGCCGTGGGAGTCGACGACGGCGACCTTCGTGGATACCCTGGAAGGTGTGCAGGAGATGCTGGAGGAGCTGAAGGGCGCCAAGGAGATCGCGATCGATTTGGAACATCACGATGTGCATTCGTACCAGGGTCTGGTCTCGTTGATGCAGATCAGCACCCGGGACAAGGATTGGGTGGTCGATACGTTGAAGCCGTGGAGAGAGGACCTCCAGGTGCTGAACGAGGTCTTTGCCGACCCCAGTATTCTCAAGGTTCTGCACGGTTCGTCCATGGATATGATCTGGCTCCAGCGCGATTTGGGGCTGTATGTCGTCAACATGTTCGATACGTATCACGCCGCCTGCGCGCTGAACTACCCGAAGCGTAGTCTGAAGTTCTTGCTGCAGAAATTCGTCAACTTCGAAGCCGACAAGAAATATCAAATGGCCGACTGGCGCATTCGTCCCATCCCGGAAGGCATGTTCGATTACGCCCGCTCGGATACTCATTACCTGCTTTACGTGTATGACCATATCCGCAACGAGCTCGTCGAGAGTTCGACCCCGGATAACAACCTGGTCGATTATGTCATGGAGCAGTCAAAGAAGGAAGCCCTGCAGATCTACGAGCGTCCTGTCTACGACGCCGCAACCGGACAGGGACCTGGCGGCTGGTACGATGTCCTGTCTCGCAACCAGATCGTCATCAACAAGGAGCAGTTCGCCGTGTTTAAGGCGGTGCACCAGTGGCGCGACCAGGTGGCGAGAGAGGAGGATGAAGGTGTGCAGTGTGTGTTCCCAAAGCACGTGCTCTTCAGAGTGGCTCAGGCCATGCCGACGGACCTGGGCACTCTGTACCGAACCCTGTCGCCTATGACGCCGATTGTCAAAGACCGGACAGATGATCTCCTGGAGATCATCAAAACGGCGAAGGTCGAGGGTGCTGACGGACCGGAGTGGCGCGATGTCTACGTGAAGCCATCCAAGAGCACGCCGGCAGCCTCCGCTGAAGGGGTGGCGGGATTCTTGCCTGACCCTACCGCAGACGACACAGACCTCCCCACGGCGGCCCGCTACGAGATTTCGCAATTTTGGGGCGGCGTGCTCGACACGCAGTCCCCACTCCCATCCCCCAAGATCTCCGCGATTGCTTCTGCCGAAGCTCTACGTCTGTCACTACCCCTCCCACCCATGCCTAGAACGGTCTCCGAAGCTCGCGAGAAGTTCGGAGTATCCACTCCCGCCGCCCAAGCTGCGTCCGCGAAACCCGTTGCGAGTTCGGCTCCACCGGCGGCAGCAGCGAAGCAGGAACCCGAGACCAGCGAATCCGAGAACAAGTACTTCACCATCAAGGAGAAGGGTGGCCCACGCAAGCGCAAGGTTACACCCGTCGTTGAGCCGCAGTCCGAAGACGCGGAGAGCACTAAGGCCGACGAGGTCAGCTCCGCGGCGGATCTGGACCAGGACCTGAACGACAAGCCAACGAAGAAGCAACGGCGCAAGGATAAGAAAAACAAGGCTGCTGCTGCTGCCGGCCAGACCGCGCAGGCTCAGCAGCAAGAGGAAGCGCCGTTCGACTACGAGGCTGCGGCTTCGATGCTGAATGCCAACCCCGCCGAGCAGGCCTCCAGACCCACGAGAAGGAAGCAATTCAACCCCTACGCCAAGGCATTGGAGGCTCCATCTGGCGTCCGCAAGCAGAAGCGGGAGATGGCCGGCCGAACCGCTACTTTCCGGTGATTTGTCGTCTGATCAGGTTTTTTTTTGAAGCTAGTACGGTACATGCGAGGAGGAAGGGGGAACAAAAAAAGTTGGAGAATGTGTGTTGTCGAGGCGGAGGGTGTTTTTACTAGAATTCGATTGTATGCATAGCGATACCCGGGTTATATTTTACAGATGAAATGCAGAGCATTATCTTTGTCGTTCGTTGGCTTCTGGTCTGTAAAGTGGGGGTGGGTGTATATACGAAGTAAATTGGTATGATCACCAACCTTGCTGAAAAGTGGTCGACTCATACTTATTCCAAGTGATCGACTGTTGACCCACCGTTCCGGAACAAAGAGAATCAAGTAGCGGCAGACAAAACCTTGCGCCTTTGCTTGACCATATACTTATACATCATCACCGAACCTGAACGAACCCAAGGGGCATTAGCCACTTACTTTCTCTCTTTCTCCTTCTCCCACCAAGTGACCCAGAAGGGAACGGAAGGGAAAAACTCACCAGGCGCATACAACCCCAAAAAGAAGACAAAGATGCCCTTCACTGCGACGCTGTCCGTCACCAGGGTCGCCCGGAACATCAACCACCATTCACTGGCGATCCCGATAGGGTAGAGACCCAGGAAAAGCGAGTACCTGGAACGCCGCTGTTAGCAGGAGCCACATAGTTTATTCGAACCCCCCCCCCTCCCCTTGCCCGAGGAACCCCACAAAACAGACCACTGGGGGAAAGGGACAGGAACATACCGCAACCACCGCAACCACGCCGGCACCGCCGACGAGCCCGCCACACTCAGCACGGCGAAATACGTATACCGGATGGCGTCCGCGAGGGACCACGCCAGCAGCATGGCCGGGTAGACGGCCACCGTCGTAGTGGTGGCTTCCGGGAAGGCATAGTTGATGGCCCAGACTTGGACGCTGCGGGCGAAGATCTGCGTGAAGGTTGTGAAGATGGGGGAGCGAGTGAGGCCTTTTTCTCTCTTAGTTGGCTGTTTACTCTGGGGGAGGAGGAGAGTGATTTGAGGGAGGGGCTGGCTGGAGGAAACCGTACCAAGGGCGGAATGCAGGATTTCAAGGCTGGCGAGGGTTTGGGTCCATCTTGTCCAGGGTTCCAGGGTTGTGTAGAGGGGTTCTGGGGAGCGGAGGAGGACGATGGAGGAGAGTAAGGTGAGGAGGATGCGGGTCCAGAGGAGGGCGTTGATGGTGTTGTAGATCAGGAGGTAGGAGGTTTTGAGAGACATTTCGCGGGGTTATCTCGGTCTGGATTGATTAGGTTGGGTTGGGTTCAGGCAATGGATTGTTTTGGGGAGATTGTGAAGGTGAAGGTGTAGTGGGATTTGGAGATGAGGTTTTCCCCTTGTATTTGGGTTGGTTTGGTTTTTTAGTGGGGATGGATTTGCATGTGATCCGGGCCTTTTTGGGGGGGGAGGGTTGTTTGTTTGTATGAAGAGTTTAGGAGGATTCTATACAGATTGGGAGGAACGCAGTCAGTTGAATATATTTAACGGGGGCTTGTGGAGAAGCTGTTTCTGTATCTCTGTATAAATTAGGGTGCTATTGATATCATCTTCGGACATAGAGTTTATGGGCTACGGTTATGCTTCGATTGATTTCCACTACGGTGGAACCGTCTTGTCTGCGTCACTAACAATCTATATGGATCTGGTCGATTGGCATCGATAGGACATATCAAGTTGTCGACACAATCAAGAAAGACCCCCGCAATCAAAGCCCGCGGCAGGACCTCAGTATGCTGAAGAAGCCGCAATGCGCAATGCGCAATACGCAATACGAAAGGAAGTGAACTCCCGCTCTGTAATTGACTTCCCGCAGGCGAACCACGTGTTGACGCTTCGGTAAGCCCGGCCCGTCACCGCCCCGTACTATCTCCTGTTTGGATTAGGTCTAGTCGTCCGGCTTACTGCCGCCCTGCCGCCCTGCCGCCTTTCTGATTCATCAGGTAGCCGGAGGTACACATTGTTATCATTGTGTTTTGTTATGATGGGCTAAAGTGCTGTGGAGAGATGCTGCTGTGTATTGTGAGATATGCACTCTGAATCAGCAGGGAAAGGTTGAGCTTCACACTGCTTACTGTTCCCACTCTACATGTACTATACAGACTGGAATGAGAATCAGAGGATGTGCATCTTGCTGCTGGAATGTGGGGAGCAAGTCATAGAGACGCATATAGGTGCATCTACCTGAAAATACAGGCAAGTTGGGGTGCTAGAGCCAACTAGTATTTTTTAAGTTTGCTATGACAAGATCAGATGAATCTGACCAAAGCAAATGTCATTCCTGAGCTTGTCTTGAGTACATCGCTCCGAAGCCATGCACCTAACCACATCCAGAGGAATACGAGCATACCCGCTAGCTGACCGGAACCTCTGATGATAGACATCCTAGGTGAGGGGAAAAGCAATGCCACAGGCGATCAACAAGATCTTACGCGTCGACTGCAGGCTCTAAACCTACGTGTATGGCGAAGATAGATCATTTGATCAGCACTCTGCGCTCTCGAACGAAATCTTGTTTTCCTCGAGGTATGATGTCAAAGCTCAAAATTTGCTTATCACGGAGGAGTCGGACTCCCAGATGCCTGGCTCACGTCATTCACGATGCGAGATACCATGGTGTCGATTGTCTCCGGCCTTTTGGCAAGCAATCCTTCCCTGGTCGGTAGGCATCCCGATCTATCGGCCTGATCGCCAGGTTTCAATAGTGACCCTGGACACAAGAGCAACGAACAATGAAAGCGGCCCGAGCTCACGGTTTGCGACTACAATGTCGTCGCATGGTGGAGGTGGTGGAGGGGGTGGAGGAACACTAGAATAGTCAACTGGATCGCACACACGTGCATGCACTTCTGCACACCCTGCCATGGCACTAGCAGCTGCAAGCTGCGCTTGTTAAGTTGTACTGCGGATGTCCTCTTGGAAAATAGAGTTTCTTTGGGGCTGATGGCGGGGTTCGTCCGGTCGTACTCGGTAGTATTGTCGGCATGTCACTGTCTGATTCCCAGGGAGATTGGGTAGGGTGGGTTAGTGTCTAGGTGTGAGGAGACTCAGTGTGATTAACAGGGACAATCAAGCCTGCGTCGTCTATATACAGAAAGCTACGTTGGAGTCAATGTCACCGGATAGACAAGCATTACTCAATGTTCTGGTCACTGTCCATGATGGGCTGAACCAAGGGGCGAAAACTGTCAGTTCTGTGCTAAAACAAGTCTAGACCAGCATTCGAGCTGAGTCAGAATAGGCGAATAGGTACTGTAGGTAGCCCGCCATCGTGGATTATTCGCTATGGTGCAGCATAAGGCGGGCGTTCCTTGCCCCAACCCAGTCTCCAGCAGGTCGACCCATCATTCATTGAATCTAAATTTAAGTTTGCGGACGTCCACAGATATGGTTAGCTTGAATGCGTGCCACGACTGTAGGTGCTAGCCGTCTATATCAGCACTCAATATAGACTCCATTGTTTGGTTAGCGGCTGGAGTCATGATGTAATGGCTCCTCGTTAGTATACGGGACCGTGTGTTTTGTGTTCATCGAGGACAGACCTTGTGAGTCAAAGTACAACGGAGACGGATTTGAGTTCGTGGCGACGTGATATGCATGTAGTCAAGAATAGAATAAGATGTCAAACGGCGAGGCATTCGCTTCTAACTTTAGTGCCTTAGGCTTCAAACAGCAACCTGTAGGTAAATTAAGAACAGGCGGCAATGCACACACACGCTACAGTACTGTAGCCAGTTGGTGGCACCAATCCGAGACACGCCCTGACTCGGTGGTTTTTAAGTTGACGCAGGTACCAGCCTTGGGTCCCCCCCGATCTGATCAGGCGGAACTTTTAGTCGACGCGCTAAACTCCTTGAGGGGAAGAACAAAAGTGGCCCCCCGTGGTCACGGGTCACACCCGGAGTCGACAGTGGCACTTGCTTGCTTGCTGCTGCAGTGTGAACAATTCAGGGGAACTGAAAATGAGAAACCCCACTGGTCTGGTCCGGTCTGGTCCCGAGGGTTTCAGGTCGTGGCTATTCTTACCTACATATTAGTATCTCCAAAATTTCTATACCTACACACGTACACACATACACCTATACATATAACCTGGAGAGTTTGAGCTTCGTGTGGCATTTACTATCTGCATGCGCATCCTAGATCCTAATCGGTGGGTAGCAAAAGACCACAAATGGCACAAAGGATGAACAAGAACGGTGGGCCTACCTTCTGTACTAACCCTGTACCACACTTCGGCCTTGCCCCTCTTTCTACGTATACCGAGCAATTAGTGAAATCATGAAGAGCGAATCTGCGTCCTGTAATCCAGATTGGTTGAGAGGTTAAGACTCACTTGCAGCTTCTAGGAGATCATCTTGGAATTTGTCATGCCCTCTGCAACTTCCTTTGCATGGCCCTGCAACTGTGCGGTTCGTTCGCTCGCTTACCGGAAGGCTGGCGGGGGACAATCGATGCGACTACGTTATGATCCATGTCTCGTCTCTGAGACTCAAAAGTTGGGCTTCTCGTTTCCGGGATTGTTGCGTCAATGATGGAAATCAGATACGATGTGAATCATGAAGTGATCTCGTTCGTGTACGCATCCCCCCGGCATTTCCGACCGACCGAGCCGTGGACAAAGTGGCAGGTGGCAACATCCTCCGCTCAGGTACCGAACTCCTAATGGCACGACCCATGGGATCATGAATGGGCGCATTGGGCCAGGGGTAAAAGAGTTGGGGAAGTGAACTCGGATAATAACCAAGTGTCTAGTCTCGTGCTAAGGTTCCACGGAGTAATCAAGGTGGATATCAACTTATCTAGTCCCGACGCAATGTCTTTGCCAGTCGCTTAGGGTCATTCTTAGCATACTCATCCCGGATTAGCTCGTTCTTTCTTGCTTAACAAGTGCCCTTATTCCCCCCCTCCCCCCCCTCCCCCCCCTCCCCTTGCGTCGTCCTGCATGTTGACCGTCTGGCTCTCTGCACTACCGGTCGAATCATGACCCCCCAGAGGATGATCATCCGACTATCATCATTGGTGCAACGAACCCCGGAAAGGGACGGACTGTCGCAAGCATGGATTGGCATCAAGGTGACGGGTGAGCGGTACAATCCATAAGGTACAGTACGGAGTACTGTGCATGCCATGATCTCCTCTCTCTCCCGGACAGGATCCGCGCCGTCCCCTACCTGCCAGGTGGTGCTCACCCTCGCCCTCAACAGATGCGGGAGTCTATTGGGAGGTCACTGGTGGGTTGCCGACCACCCATAGATTATTGTAAGCATTCTGAAGAGATTAAAGGCAACTTGGAATCCAACTGGAAAACTTGATGGATTCCTAAAAACTCAATCAGGAGGGCCAAAACCGAATGACAAACCACTTAGTCTGGCGCCGTTGATGGTCTGCCATTATATCCAAAACAGATAGCCATGGATCCCATAGACAATGTCTGGAGATCTGTCCAAGGAGAAGTTATGGCCCGATGACGATCAATTCGGTCAATCTCCATTGTCCTCCGTGGTTACAGTGAAGTGCAAGTACGGAATAACTGCTAAGAGAGATCCCGATATTTCTGGCGAATATGAGATGGCCACGGTGGTGGTGGCGGCGGAAGGAGGGGAGACCGTCCATGGCAGGAACAGGGCATGGTTCGTTTTGATTACAGAGTGGTGGAGAGCGCTTGAGCAACCGCCAGCTCAATCAATCTATGTGTAGGGGTCCATACAAGTTTAGTTAAAGTACTACATACATACTAAGTACTGTACATACCTGCCTGCCGTTGAGATTTGAGACACTACAACGTACCACCGCATGCACCGTCCCCCTCTTTCTCGGCCTATCTCTGCCGACCAGCATGGAAAAAGAATATGTAGTGTCGGGAGAAGAAGAAAAGGCAGAGGGGGAAGGGGGTGGGGGGAGGGTAGCTTATGCATGCCGGTGCCTGGGAAGCACCAAGCACCAACTGACTACTGTATGTGCCACACCCTTTTTTTTTTCCTTACACCTAACCAGGCCAGTCAACGAGTTAACCGCGTTGCGTACCTGCTTGGCCCTTCAAGATTGTTATTCAACCCGTCCGCCCACTGTTGCTTTGCTGCAAGTCACACGGAGACCAACTCCACCTACCCTTTTTTTTTTTTTTTTTATCTTTCCCTTCTCCCCTTCCTCCCCCCTCCCTCCAAATCTTTAGTACTACATGTGTATCATTTCATTTATAATTCCCCAATTTATTTTATTTT